TCAGAGAAAAAGAGGAAGACCCCCAACGAGATGGATGGGCCAAGTGGCAGCATCGATGGACTCAAGCGTGGCAACAGTCGTGAAGTTGGTCCAGTATCGGAAAGTGTTTTGTTCTGCTGTGCATAGGGTCACTATGGGTCGGTACCGACTCGATGGCCCCTAACAAAAACAACCTGGGTGTTCAGAAAGCTTAAACTGAAGCGAGGCCTTGAAACGTGGGTAGGATTTTAATGGGTCAATGTATATGAGACTGTTTGCTATGTGTCCACTTGGCTAGGCCATGTTTCCAAGTATTGTTTCATTTTCTCCATTTTGTGATCTAATTATCTTCCATTTTATCTGTTGTAAATCCTAACCTCTATATGTTAATGAGGAAAGATTAATGTGGGGTGTATCTTGAGCCACAGTCTTACAAGACCGTGTAACTCAAGTCCCACTTTTACTCAAGTCACACCCTTACTGTAATGTAAGGGGCATTACCTAACAGGTGTGACCGATAGCAAGTAACTATGGCTCCTCTGGCAAGGCTCTACCTCACTCCAGATCCTGCAGTCAACTCATCATCTTTTGATTCTTGGAACATGAGCCTACTGCTTGACCTGTAGGTTTGGGGATTTGCCAGCTCCTGCAGCCCTATCAGTTAGCAGTCAGCTATCTGACCTGTCAATTTTAGATTTTTCAACTCCTGTTACCACATGAGTTAGAAGTCTCTAGCATGACACCTGACTGACCTTACCAAGTATGTGAGCCATTTCTTTGAATTCAATCTCTCTCTCTGTCTGTCTCTCTCTATATATACATATATATATGTACATATATATGTGTATGTATATTGTTGTTGTTGTTCAGTACTGTCAAGTTGATTCTGACCCATAATGACCCTGTATAGGGTTTCCAAGGAGCAGCTGGTGAGCTTGAACCACTGACCATGCAGTTCAAATGACTTTGCAGTCTGAGGCATATATACGCTTCAGTTGTTTTACTTCTCTAGAGAACCCAGCCTAAGAGAGCATGTGTTTTTATTTGGAAAGAAAAGTAATGAGTATGTTCCAGTCAAAAGCCTGTGCACTTTCCTTTCTGTGACTATTTGTGAAAGCAAGTCCATGATGTAGGTATGTGCCATCTGCCTTGCCTCCAGGATAAACTGTACTGTAGGTAGGGAATCAATTGCTATTCTATTCAAACAACTTTATCTCCACTTCATTAGCCTGTAGTCTCAACTTATGGATAGTAGAAAGTAGCCGACCAAAACTAAATCCACTGCCCTTCAGTTGATTCTAACTCATAGCAACCCTATAGAACAGTGTAGAACTGCACCATAGGTTTTCCAAGGTTCTAATCTTTATGAAAGCAGACTGCCATATCTTTCTCCTGCAAGTGAGAAGCTGGTGAGTTCAAACTGTCAGCCTTTTAGTTAGTAGCAAGTGCATTAACCAGTGTACCACAAGCTAAAAAACGCATGCCCTATAAAAAATGGGGCAGAGCCAAGAAGAAAGCCAGGTGGCAAGATTAAGTCTTTAGCAAGACCTACTGCCTGGTCTCAGTACACTGGTAAATGGCAAAAGATGACAGGGGTCACTCATCAAGTCAACCAAAGAGGTATAGCATGCACACACAAAAATCACTGTTACTTCTAGCCATGTGGTAAAAATCCAGTAGAAAAGAGGCAGAATTTGGGAATGTAGAAGCAAGGAAAAGACCTGGCCTTCACTATCTGCAATCAAAGAAAATTGGCAAAAGAGGAACATGTATAGCCAGAATACAGGTGAAAAAAAGATGTATGTGTGTGCAATTGTACTCAACAATATAAAACTATATGGTTTAACTATATAAAGTCCAAATAGGCAAAATTAATAACATCAGAGATGCACGTTGAAGTAGTGAAATGACACAGAATATCAAAGAAATTTGTATCATAAAAGTCAGTATAGTGGTTACACAGGTGAAGAGGGACAGGGGTTTAAATCTGGCAGAGGCTTCTAGGGATGATGGCAAATTTCTGTTTCTTCATTTGGGTGATGGTTACTGAATCATACTTACTTGTCTGTTTTGTGTGCTGCTATGTGATACCTTCCTGTATATCTGTTGTATTTCATGAAAAATTTTTGAAAAACCAGTTGCTTCTGTAATTTATAAATTTTGGTCTCTGAGGGTTTATATGTTTATAAAATTCCCTTTAATGTTAGTAGGGTTTCAAAAGAGAGCAAAAGTAAATGTATGCATTCAATTTAACATCTTTACTTGCAAGTCCTCTATCTTTGAAGATTTTCTAAGAAAATGCTATCTTTTTACAAGTTCATAACTTATTAAAAATGTCTATATTTTTATTTTAAATTAAAAAATAAAAATAAGCATAGTAGGAAATTATGAAACACTGTACAACTGACAGAATGTCCTATTTGGAAAAATTTACTAATTAAAAAATTTGAGTTTCTCAAGATTGTTTAATATTTTGTTTTTCCAAATTATCAAAGAAATAGACAAAATATACATATTACAATTTTATCTTCTGTACTAACTTTTAGGTTTCACATTTATGTTTTAAAAACTTACTGCATCCCTTCTAAGCTAGCTTCTACACAAACTGTAAAGTTCCAAACTGTTCTGCACAATGTAATATGGACATGTCTCCAACAGAACTGGAACATTACAAATGTTGTTGTTGTTGTTGTTAAGTGCCGTCAAATCAGTTCTGACTCATAGCAACCCAGTATATAGTTTCTAAGGAGCAGCCAGTGAGTCTGAACAGCTGACCTTGTGGTTCAAACTGACCTTGCAGTCCTGTGCTTATCCTACAACACCATACCATGACTTATCACTTGACGTTACCTGGAATCTTACTGGAAAAGTGCAGATTTAAGAGAAGTAAGAAAGGAAAATATATATATATATTTTCAAAAGTAGTATTTTTTACATTTCGTTAGTTAATCTTCTATTGGTATTGCAACAAAGATTTATAAGAATGTTGGGGATATTAATTTATCAGTTGTTTCTCATTATTACAAGGATCTCAAAGGGAGTTCCCCTTTTTTGAGTTTATGTCTTAAAGATAGTTTTTCGTTTTGCTTTGTTTTTTAAATAATGAAGCAATACCACAGAAGTTTTGGATAAGTAAAGTCCTGTAAAATAACAAATTAATTCAAAATTTAGATAAACTATTAAAATCAATAAAATTGACTAGTATAAACAATGTTTTCTGGATAAAAAAACATTACCGTTTGTCTGCAAATTGGACAACTGATGGCCCCAAGCCATGAACCATATCGCCAGTATGCAATAATGCAGGTACCTAATGGGAAAAAACAATACTAGTTTAAAGTCCATATATCACGAGTACATTTAAAATATTTTGAATAGTTTAATATTCTTACCTTATTTAAATACACTTTTTAGTTCAACCAACTCCTCACAGCTGTATGCAAATTACAATCTAGTAACAGTTCCAGTCTTTGAAAAATACTTTTATTTAAACTTCCAGTTAGACTATAGTTTTACATGATCAAAAGCAAGCAATGAGTTTCAAAATGAGAATATCAGTCAATATAAATACATCACATTAATAGAGTTAATTTTCATATATGATATGTGTATTCTTTTGCATGTAGACATCCTGTTTTTCAAGCACCATTTGTTACAGAAACTATTCCTTCCCCATTGAATTAACCTGGTACCCTTGTCAAAAATCAATTGACCAGGACTTCCGGGTTTGGGGAGGGAGAAGCAGACACAGGTTGGGGAGGCTCCACGACGGAGGCATGAAAAAGACAGATAAGGCGCTTTCCCAGAGTAGCTCCAGAGTTTTGGCTCTAATACACAGTGAGGGGCATCAGTTTTCCATGCCCACTGATGGAGAATCTGACGTGGAGGGGAAACCTGGCGATTTCTGAATTGATAGGGACTCTGCCTGAGGGCCCCTCAGCCTGAGCTGAGATCAGAGGGTGGGGCCACAGCCAGGCAGACACAGTGCTACAGTTCTAAAAACCACTGAGCAGCATCTGGAAAAAGTGGTGTGAAGGATTTTTCACTTTTCTTTCCTCCTCTCCCCTGTTGCACCCTCTCTGCCCAGCCCAGACACCTTCAGGCAGGTGGGAGCACAAGCCTAAAAGGGTCCACCGTTGCACCCACAATTTTCCACGGCACAGGGAGGAATTCACTGGGAGCCCCAGCAGTCCCACAAGCTAATCCTTTGGCTGCTTCTTTTGACGTCTGACTCTGGGACTCAGCCCAAAAGTTGACCTGGGCGGGACCCTTTATTACTGCCTTACCAAACAAGAGAGAGCAGGTCTGCTGTACAGCCAAACCATATGCGCACCTTGTAAAATCCCAACATAAAAGGCAAGAGCCAAAACCAACTACTATATACAAGGATGTAGCTATTTTGAGAATTATGCTGTACATACTTAACTTACCTTCAGAGATAAAATAGTGGACAATGTTTCTTCCATTCATTTCTCAATAACTATCTGCACACCTCCACAGTAGTGACTAAAGGAGGGGCCTGAGCGAGTGGACACCCCACCCACTGCTGGAGGTTTCTACTGTGCATGCACACTTAGCTGTGAAGCAAGGGCTACTGGACAGTTGGCTACGGTTTTATTTTTGTTTTTGAGTGGTGGTTTTTGTCTCCGCTTTTATACTGTTTCTGGTTTTGCTTCTTTTGGTCTCACTTTTTTCCTGGGTGTGGGAGCTTTCTCTCCCTACTTTACCCAAGAAGAGACAGCAAGAATGGCCATATAGCCAAGCTACAAGCATACCCCATAATATCCCACCATCTGGACAGGAGCCAATCAATACCAGCTGCTAGGCATTACACGTGAAAAGGGAAGCCTATATCCAGATCATATGCACCAGGAAACACTTAGTAAGCTTAACAACACAGAAACATACATTCATTTAATTATTGAAAATGCATCTATTAAAAATGTCGAAGAAAAAACAACAACAAAGGATCTCACCACATGTTCAAAAACAGAAGAGAGTAACTGAGACAAATGAGCTGGAGGCAGAAACAGACTTCCCATTAGAATAAGAGCAGGCTTTGGAACTGCCTGAGAAGGAATTCAGAAGAATGCTATGGAGACAAATTCAAATACTCCACAGATGGGTGGAGGAAAATAAGGTAAGAGTCAGGAAAGTGTTACAGGAGCAATCAAACAAGATATATATAGCATTGGAAACAATTCAAAACCTGCAAAAAGAGGTCTAGATGATTAATAATAAAATATCAGAAATGGATAATACACTGAAAGAGAAAAGGAGTAGAATTAAAGAGATGGAAGCCAGAACCAGCAAGCTGGAAGACAAATCTCTCAATACTGCTAAGATAAAAGAAAAAGCAGAAAAAAAGGCTTAAAAAAAGTCTGAAGACAGTCTAAGATTCATGCTGGATAACATGAAGAGGAATAACTTAAGAATTATTGGTATCCTGGAACAGGAAGAATCACAGAAGTCCACAAAGGAGATAGGTGAAGAACTATTGGAAGAAAATTTCCCTAACATCTTGAAGGATGAGAAGATAAGCATTCAAGAAGCTGAACAGACCCCAAGAAGGAAAGACTCCAAAAGAAAATCAC